AAGATGCTTGATTTTAAAAGGGTACAGGATCTTGTCGTCCCTCGAGCTGTCAATGGCCCCGTTTCCTCCAGATGCACCAGACCCTGTATGTGCAAGAGGACTGGCAGCACCCGCTTGGGAGGGTGTGACAGTCGCCACTCCCCTAACGGATGATTTGACCACAGGATCATCATCGGTGCTTTCCAGGCCCAATAAGTCCATTGGGATGGGCAGTTTTGAAATATCGTATCGCTCATACTTCACTGCCCGGTCACGCATTGTGAATATCTTCGCAAGAACAAGATAATGATCGAACAGGATGGCATGTGTATCGACAAGGAATCTTGTGCGGGTTCCAGGACGTTGCAGCTCGCCTCGATGGATGATCTGTCGACCCAAGTGTTCGAGATTAAGTTCAACCTCTTTCTTCATGTCGGGTCGCAATTGCAGCTTGGATGCCAATTCCATCAAGTCGGCCTTCTTGTTCATCTCTCCAACTTTATTGTCACACTCCAGCGCCACGACCTTGATCTCTTCGATGGCCTGCGCCAGATTTGCCTTTTCTTCGCAATCCTTGACCATATTCTTGTGGACAGTCGCCAAGAGAAGAGTATACCGCTGGATCCTGGTAATCGGAGCTTTGAGGAAGGTATCCCAGCTAAGGCGATTTGACAGTTTGTGTTCCCGGGCTTGGTTTAGGAACTGCTTGAAGTGCGGGTTGCGCTCAGCCTCCTTGCGCATAAGATAGTTTGCCGTTGGGAAGGTTGCAGCATAGTCGATGTATACATTCTTAGCTTTGCGAATCCATTCCCGGAAGATGTCACTGAATCCAGAGATGAAAGGCCCTTGTTCTTTTTGACGGTATTTAAGCTGGGCCAACAGGAAATCCTCGTTGACTCTCTTCACAGAATCCACCTTGCCAAACACGTCGGCCAAGAATTTGGGCAATCGCTTCGGCGGAATGATCGGAGGGTTCATCTTAGCCAATTGATCACGATAAAGTTCTCGTAGGACATCCAGTTGCCCCATGTAGGAGTCTTCTGTAGTGACAATTTCGTGCAAATTGTTCTGACGATCGACTTCTTTCCTCGGATGGGCTTCCCAGACCTCCTTGGGCACCTTGTAGAAAGTGACCCAGTCCTCGATTTTCTTCTGCGGTGCCATCATTTGTGCCTTGAGATTGACCTTCTTCAATGTTCGCATACAGTGATGCGAGTAGCATCGACCGAAACTATCAGTACCCTCAATGTGCATCTCGTGTAAGTGGAGCATGGGCGAGTAACATCCTGTGCCGGTAATCTGGAACAAGATACCCGAAAGAGTGCCTGAGCCAAACTTGACCCATTCTTCTTCTTTCACCAATGCACCTTCTTCAAGCATGCCGCTCACAACTCGAGCAGCCAGTGTCTCGGCATCAGCAATGTTCATGGTGGGGACTTTGTGAGTGAACAACGCGACCATGGCATCGGCAATTGCTTGCTCCCTAAGGTCTGTCTCGTCCTCACTCAGATCTTTAATCCAGGCCAAGAGGGAACTCAAAGCCCACGGCTCGCTACACTTCTTGAATTGTTCCGATGACAGCTTCGCGGGATGGAACTTCTTGCGCCGGCCAGCCGGGATGCTTGGCAGATCCAGCGTCATAGCCGCTGCTGCCGCTGCTGGGTCGATATGAGGTAGGTCCTTTTGCTGAAGCTGCGAGAGCAGCTCTTGCTGCTGCTGCCTGTACCTCAGCCGGTCGGCATCGGTCTTCGATCTGATAGGCGCATCAGTACGAGGCCCAATAGGGGTCGACAAGGATGACGACCGCGGAACTTGGGACGAGCTCAGCAAAGCATCGCCATAAGACTCCGCTGAGGTTGGCAAGGAGGGGTGATTATACTGTGAATAACTATCAAAGTCGTCCTGCTGCTCCGAGTGGCGGTTATATGTGCCCGCAGGCATCAAATGCGACACAAGGTCAACATTGCCAGCGGGCTCAACGGGTGCTGGTGGCAATGGACGCATCCCAGGGTGGAAGAAGAGATCTTCGGGCGCGGATCGGTGGGGGCTCTCGTCGTCGGATTGATCTCCAGAATGGGTCTGATCATATGGCGATTCTCCTTCATCGCCATAGTCGAAGCTCATCCGCCGCGCATAGGCATCGGGTGCCGATAATCCTCCTGTGCCACTGGCATCTACCCTGGCATCGGCCGGCGTATGATGGAGACGTCTGGCATAATCATATGCAATACGCGGATGTTCATATTCATTATAATACTCACCACGCTCTTCGTGCGGCAGAGAGCTTTTGAATGAACCAGATGTGCCTGGGAATCTGTTGTCTGCGGCAGGGTCCGAGTGATCTTCTGGACTGTAAACACCGTAGTGTACGTTTGCTTGGTAGCCGCCTTCGACCTGGGATAGGTCAGGGACGACTTCGGTATCGTCATGGAAATCAGACAGTGGTGAATGCTCCCTTGGCGATATGTTGGATCCACGTGAGCTGCGAACTGAGGTATTGGTATCGCGTCGCATCCGCTCTTTTTCGCGCTCTTCACGCGCTATGTCTTCTTGCAACATGATCAAGCCAGCGGCAGCTTCGGGATCGCTTTCGTCACTGTAGGCATCATAATTTATATGCCCTGTGTCCGTCTCCATGTTACCATTGGTGTGGGTGTGCTCCTCATCAGGCGAGAAGTACATTCGTGAAGCAGAGCTAGCATGGGAAGCTCTAGAACTGTGACGCCGGGCAAAGTTTTGAGAGTCCAACGCTGCCGCTTCATCCCCTCTCATCACATCTTCATATGCCATGGGGGCTTCCGCCTGCCAGTGATTGCCATTTGCTCCGGCTTCATCGACCGGGGGTCCAGGAAGAGGCCGTGATTGAGGGTGTCGAGTCAAAGTGTCAGTTCGCCTCGGTGGATGTTGAGGCAAGTCTATCTGCATAGGGGGCGTCGGCAGGGTTCGCCCTGACACGGAATGAGATACACTTGGCCTGCCGTACAGGCCATTTGCCTGATTCTGGTGAACTGGAGGCATGGGAGGCTGCTCTTCGAAGGAACCGCTTGGGATCGCTGGGGTGTACTGGGGAGATGGCATGTCATACGCAGCAGCCCCCTGTGAGTTGCTATAATAAGGACGTGAGGTAGGCGGAGGCATATGCATTATCCCCGGGGAGCTTGACGGCACATAATTAGGCGAAGTGGTGGGTGACATGGGTTGGTATGAACGTCCTCCATACGGGTGATCAGGGCCCCTCGGCGGTGGAAATGGTGGTTGTTGGGGGGGGAAGCCGTACGATTGTGGAGTTGGCGGTGTCTGCCCGTAGTGTGAAGCTGCGCTCTGCCTTCTAGGTAGAACCGGAGAGCTCAGTCCAGACACAGCGGTAGACTGGTAGGCCGCAGGATTATATGGTTGATGGCCCGAGGCTGGAGCGGCGTAAGAAGCATTGCTGGAGCCAGTGTACGTCTGAGGGTTATAAGCGAGGACCGGTTGCGACTGCGTGTGTGGAAGGGCGTATTGCTGTGGGTTGTAGGCCGGCTGGGATGAAGGTGCTCCAGAATATTGATATTGATAAGACATAGCGGAGGTTTGCGAAGAGGCGCGACTCGGAGACATGCGCGACATGGCGTCTGAGGAAGTCCGTGAATATCTCGAGTCTCTGTCATCTTCAAAGCCCCCCCTGCACAGCGTTGTAGCCACCCTGTCCCGCGCTGCCACCATAACCACTGCCTTGTGTTGAATACTGTCTGTTTTCTTCGGTCGCTCTCACATTCTGGGCCTGAGCAGGGTTGAAGAATCCAGAATCATCCCCGGCATTGTAACTCGGCATCCTTCGAGGCAGATGCTGGTCCGGCACGGGGTTTTGGGACGAATAAACCTCATAGTGGCCGGTGGATGGTGGGACAGAGGCTTGAGGGTTTGCGGATTGGCCGTAGTATGCCTGTTGACCGTTTGGATATTGCGACATGTTTTCGGAGGGGTGAGGGTCCGACCTGATATCGACTCGACTTGGCTCGACTCGACGCGTCCAGTTTTGCGCGAGAGATTGCTTAGCAGGACTGTGAATTCTGAAATCTGAATTCTGATCTCGGGCACTCAAGTGAATAGCAAAACGAGTGACTAGTTCAGAGCAACTCAGAATGTTTGGAATGAGGGGAACGACCACGCGGGTCGGTAACACGCTGTCGAGGAGCTGGCTCTGGGCATTCCCAATGAGACTGAGTGCGATATAGTAATAGAGACACCAAGTCCAAAGATGCGAAAAGGAGTTGTTTTGGGTAAGATGAGGTGTGTTGGGACATCAGCTGCGCCCACGCTAGTCGAGGTACCGTCTCCACCGCCAACGGGGTTCACCACCTGCCACGACACTTTATTTTACGAGGCTGATATCAATCTGGTTACGGTCTACTGCAAGTCCCAATATTATCTGAGTTTATGATGTGTAATTGTACTTATATACGATGTCTTTACCTTCAGCTTGTTACAAATGTTGTTTTTATTCCCCAGGATCCGGTAGGGGTCCAGTGCCGTCATACTGTACTTCGTACCTACAATATAAGTAGTATGTGCTTCTTTTTGGCCAAATCATAACAAGATCAAACATCATATATCTAATTTGAAGATGTCATGAAACCCAATAGGTACATATGTAATATGGGGCCACCTGGGCTTGAATCTTAGAACGTGTATAATCGCCCCCAATTCTTCTCGTATTTTTTTCGGGGCAAGGCTGTGAGGCTGAGTCGTATTCGGCCCCCACAATGTATATATTGCATCCACAACCACATATGCAGTGACTGGGCTTGGGAAACAGTATGTTTTTGCCTAAAACGACCGCATAGAATTGGGCCTGGCATCTAGAATAGCCCAGGAGACAGCAACAGTCGGTGGTTGGTATTATCGCTATGAAATTCACCCAATATATGCATCGAAACAACAACCGGTTAACAACCCTCGAACTAAAAGGCAAAGAAATGAAAGGATTATAGAAATGAGAAGATTTGTTGAAACAGGAATATCAACAAACACCACGCGCATCCTCAATAAGAAAAAGGGTCTGACTCGAACCACTCCAGCGAGACTTGGCTATTGAATAATTGCCACATCAACGCATCATCAGGTGCATAGCTTCCATCACTGGGTGTCTGCAATTGCTGATGGTTTGCTCCAGCGATAGGATCTATATATGGAGAGCCAGCCATCAAGACATGCGCATGCTCATCAGTACTAGCCGGATGGTCATGCCAAGTCCCAGTCATTGAAGGGTACAAAGTAGGGACTTTGACCTGCTGGCCCATGCGCTGCTTGGCTTGGATCAATGGTACGCAGAGATTCTGCAAGTAGTATAGCAGTTTCAGCAGTTTCGAGATGTATGGACTTGCGGCGAACTGAGATAGGCTTTGCGTGATGTCTTGCATTAGACTGTAGTCATCTATGTCTAATTCTCCAATGATGTTGCAGAAGAGGACAAAGAATGGACTTAAGGGATATAGAAGGACAGTCCTGTGTAAGATGAAGGGTTATTAGTGGAAGAATTGGTGATGCTGGAAGTAGACCAACCAACCATGTTAGGAATGATGGATAAGGATCCACGAAGCCAGGGGTATCCGCGAGATTCTTTTGAAGGTGATGCAGTGCCCTGAGAGATTTGCGGGAATACGACACACACTCCCTGTGCGTCAAAGGGGAAAAGCTACATTTTAAGCGCGATCGAAGAATATCAACCAGAATCGCGTAATAACCAAATTCACCTGCAATCCATTCCGCAGCGATACAGTCGGGTGCTGAGGCTCGACTCTGGGAGAATAGGTTAGCGTGGAGAAAGACAGGCATTCAGTCAAGCTCACTGATTGTAATGTTGAATATATGGCTTCCATTCGTTCTTGGAGTCTTGAGTGATTGGCAAGTATTTGGCGAGTATTATCCGCATTGCCGCAATCCAGCAGCTCTCCTTGGACCTGAGCTAAATCGAACAATATGCGTATTAATGGGATATGTGCCATAGATTGGTCGGCACTGATTAAGTTCGCGGGAGAGATGCGAGGCTCTGGCAATGACAGTGGTCGATACAGAAGGGTGCTGAGAGTTCGGTCAAGGTAAAAGCACCAACATACAGCGCTATGTATTTCTTCATCGAGGCTTGAAATCCCAAGCGGATTGCGGATTTCATGGTAGCCCAGAGCGGTAATCAGACGAGCTGCGTATGAGTTGAGAATCCAGGATTGGCTCATGTTGCCGAGATACTGCATGAAGAATGCCTGTTCAACAGTTGTCAATAAAAGAGTCCCCGAATAATGAAGCATGATGACATACAGCAGATATCAACGACTGAATAAAAGGAAGAGTTGGGGCATTCAAGAAATTGAGCCTCTTGAGAGCTCGGAAGGCATATGTTTCATATAATTTCTTGGACTTCAGAAATTGTGCGTTGATGCGAGGATCCTTATATGCTTTCGGTTTCTGGAAGAGATGGAAGATGGCCTTCACATAAACGCATATACAATACTGGTAGAATACCTGCCCATGCTCAAGGCTGTTGTCACCGAGAATGGTCGAAGCCATCTTTTCTAGTGTTTTGTCCGAGATGTGGTCCGGCCATTGTACGGAACTAGATCGTCCGACAGCAGCTGTTGGCTCTGTATAAGTATTAGTGCATGCATTGACAATGAAAATGACTTCTAGTACCTGGAAGAAGCATATAAAGCAGCTCCGGTGATGGGGTAATAAATGGACCATCATGTTGAAAGTCTTCATGCGGCACCTCTACCGGCGAAGACTTATCGGTAACTGAGGTTCTCCTCTGTCCCGTAATGTCCACAAATTGCAGGGCAGACCTGAGGATTGCCTTTCGTTCACGGTCCATACGCTCATTTCCATCAAGCTCTCCTTGTATGACGACTCTGGCCTTCTCTGCATGGTGTGTGGTCGGGCCAATGGCACACTCATTCTGGGCAGATTGAGAATCTCCTTCTATGTACGAGGCATGATCTAGTCTCCTTTTTTTCGATGCTGCATTTCGATCGTTGAGATCTGCAACATTTGATGGAATGAGAGTTTCACTGATCGGTCAATCAACCGGAGTCCCGAAGTAAAGAAAAATGGCAATCATACTCTGAAACTGTCCTTTCCAAGGATAACAATCTTTCCCCGAGTGCAGATATACTATTAAACCCCATAAGCGTAAAGCGACAGCAAGATAGATTAATATGGGAACATACACCGATGATGATTGCCGGCGAGGTCGTTGAGCTCTTGTACGACTACACTTCACGCCTGCATCCGTACAATTCGCACAATCTAGCTGCTTATCACAGCGAACCTATTAAAAGCTATCAGTCGCTGAGCAGTAAATGGATCTGACGAAATCCTTTAACCTTTCTCGAGTAGCAAAGGTCACACTAATATCATCATCAGTATACGAATGCCGAAAGCCATGTGATGGCACTCACAGCTCGCAGCACATTGTCATTCATTTGATCATCCATTAAGTAATTCGCAATCACTTCGAATTAATATTGCCTAGTAAGAGAGATAATGACCTTTCAGTATTTCCAACATTGCTCGGGGCTTGCGGAGGCCGCGGTGCCGCTTAGTGAAAGTATTCAGATCTGTTTTCCTGTTTCGGTCGGCACTCCGACCGAATCGAGAAATTATGTGGAGACGGCCTATAACATACGTAGTTCGGTAGGTGAGTTGACTATTCGCTTCATTGCAACATGTTTTTGATGTTTTTGATGTTTTTGCCGATGACTGCGTCTTTTAGTAAAGTCGAGGTTTGTCGCATTGATGGGTCGATCGAATTAAGCGTCCAGGTGAAGCCGGAAGAACTAAATTCGCTCTTTCTTAAGTGGCATCAGACGTGTCTACCTTGCACAAATTGAGGTTACCATTCTAAGAAAGCCTCCAGGGCTCGAAAATCAGAAATAGGGTATAATATTTGATAGCACGGCAGTGGCCGTCGAGTGTTCTTCTGCGCGAATATATCTGATAAAAACCACGCAATAAAAGGTATAGGCAGTAGGGTATATAGCAACAAAAAAAAAAGAAGCAAACCATGACCTGGGCATATCATAGAGATATTCGTAACAGATGTGAAAAGGTCAGCCCGGCAATAAGTACTATGATAGATATAAATAAGGTCCTGGTACTCAAGTCATACAAATCAGCAATCAGAGTTGACAAGATGGGAAGGCAGAACTGGGAAAGATGTTCGAAATCGTGTCGCTCGGCAAATAGTAATATCACTTTCCATCGTAGATTTGGTTGGGTGTGAGTGAGAACTGGCCTTTCTGGATCTCTTTCGCCTCAATGTGGTCGGGCTTGACGTATCTCGCAGTCAAAGCAAAGCGCAACTTGTTCTCGGGCACCACCGAATGCTATAGCGGTCAGATCCGATGCTCAATGTTGGTAAAAAGGGGAACAATCACAAACCTCATAGTATTTCTGGAGATTCTCTCCGTGCATGACAACCAGATCACCATGATGAAGTTCCATTTTGATGGTAACCGGTGCCTCTTTTCCCTTGCGGCCCATCGACAGAGCACGACGCGAGTCATCATACTCATCTTGCGAGATCTCACCGGCATCGAACTCTTCTTTCAGTGTCCGCCGTTCCTTCTCAAACATGCAGTCGTTTAGAACAGGGTCATCTTGCAGAAGAGTCCCAATCTGCTTGGGCTCAACCCTTCGGGTAGAGCCATTGAAATACTTGTACTTCATACGGACGAACATGGTTGCTTTCGCTCCAAGGGACAGTGTGGCGATACTGGGGCCAAGCGAAGACTCGCCGTCATCATGGAACTGAGCGAAGATATTTTAGCCTAGGCCGTTGTCAATGCCATACATTTGACTTACTCCGATCTTCATTTCTTCGAAATAACCGAGCGTCAGTAACTCATTTGGAGGCAAGTATTTGTCTCCAGAAGAGACGACTGCTTTTTCAGTTGCCCACGACAAACGACCCAGAGCTTGGAGCATGTCGTTGGGTGCTTCATCGAAGCCCTTGGAATCGACAGACACAACATATTTGTAGGGCATACCCTGTGTCCTTTGGTCAGGTGAAATGGACACTAAAATGTCAAGGTAGTATCTCTTCACTTACGTAGTTGACCGCGAAATGTGAGGTCAGTGTACCCGCAACTGTTCCATTGTGAGAAACTATATATCTGAAGTTGTATCCGGCTCACTTACCTAGGCTGGACTGGAGGCGGAATCGTTTGAGACCAAGATCACCACGTTGGAGATTGATGAAAAGGTCATCTGGTCCATTCGCACGGCTATTGATTGCTTTGTTGGACACAAAGTGAGTAATCGAGCCAACTCCATCAAGTTTATAAGTTAGCTTCCGGTACGGAAAGAAGGTATTGTCGTCAATCTCTGGAATGCTGAACTTCCGGTCAAAAACAATTGCTCGCTTGATCGGGGCCAGCTCGAAATGATCGAGGACAACCCGGAGCGAAACAGGGTTCATGTTCATGAACTTCTGAAACGGGCAGCTGTTCGTGGACTCCTCGCCGATAGAGTCATCATCGCATTTCCAGCCTTGCCAGAAAGTTCGACGGATACATTTGAAACACATAGGGCACACGATTCCCTTCCATGCGATACGAGATGTGCTAACATCCGCGGCGTTCTCATCCAATGTGGACAGAAGATTGGGAACTAGACTGTAGTGCGGTTGGATTGCCGGGTCTGGACGACTGCGAAAGCTCAGGAACTCAGGATTGAAAGTGAGCTCAGGGGGAGGGAAGCGTTCCCGATCTTCCAGAAGTCGACGCAAACAGGGTTAAGGCACATCCACCCATCCTCGTACAAGCGAACACTTTCCGTGGAGCATCTCTCACACTTGAGAGTCTCAGGCTTTGTTTCAAAGTCCCGCTCATCGAGGGGCACTGAAGGGAGAGAATCCTTGGCCGCCCACCAGCTCTTTTCGGCCAGATTCAGTTTCTCAAAGCGGACCTTCACTCCGTGTTTCTGACCAATCTTTTCAAACCAGACATTGGTAACACGGAACCAGTCCATAATGTTGTAACGATGCGGAAGCTCTCGGTTGAGAATCTTGTTCTTGCTCCCTATAACTGTGGTCAGCAGGGTTCCTTTTATAGCACTCTTGATGAATTACCAATAACAAGGCCAACAGCAAGCTTTGAGTTTTGACTGGCAATGATACTTTGGACGAGTGCATTGTCCGGGTCTTGGTTCTTTTCGAGGGTCAGGTTTCCGCCCGAGTCTTTGGTGCAGCATCCGCCGCTGACAAAGTTAGTAAAGACAGGTTACAACTCTGGACACACGATACTTACATTCTGGTAATTATGATTTCCTCGTCAATATAAGTGCGGGTACCACCGTCAGCATCAATGAGGAAGCCATAGCAGAAACCTTCATTGTGATACATTGCACCTTGAGTGCAGCGAAACCATGGAATCGCATCACAAAGTTGCTGACGACCCTGGCAGATTCTTCAGTACATATACATATAAATTACAAAGGATTATTAGTAACATACCTCTGACCAGGCCGGGGGTGTTCCATAAACCGGCTCAAGAACTTGGTCATTGACAGCAGCTTCAAGCTGGTCCGACGGGACTGTCTGGTATCAGCATGTTATATTCCGCAATAAAGATGTAACAAAGTGATTGTCACCTTTGATGGCTTGTTCTTTCTTTGTTTTGGCGATGCGGCTTGCTCGCACTGGTCTTTCAACCGCCTGGCGACGATTGACAGTAGGGCGTGGTGCCATTTTCCACAATTTGTTGTGCAATCAAGCTATTTTCCCGTAAATTGAGTAAGTATTATATCCAGACATAGCCCAGAACATATTTAAACAGCCAACAAAATTATATCTGGTGGTGGAGGTTGATAGTCAGACTCACAGTATAGAGGGCCCAATGGCACCACACAAGGTGAATTGGTGTTTTAGCTGTGCTCAGTATAATATTTCAGACAGTACTTAGCTTCGAATAATCATTCAATGCTTGAAAGGGATGAAAAAGCGTTTGAGGATGGGATGAAGTGTGAGGTGGGAGGATTATGGAGCTGGAGGGAGGACCCAAGATATATTTTGCCAGAGCGGCGTCGAGGTCGGGGTGAAGCCGGCAGTAAACTTGGACATCACATGAGCTAATCTCGAGGGAGTTCATGAATTGCCCATTATGAACTCAAATTACAAGCAATGGCATTATGTTAGTTTGGCATGAGATGGACACCGAGAAACCCCGAGATTGATAACACCATGAGAGCACCTAAGCCACGAGGCCCAGACACCTCGCTACCTAGGTAGAAGCCTATTAGACCTATACAAGGTAGGAGATACTCAAGTTATAAGATCCTCGGTTATCGGTGGCGTGTATATGAACTGGATGGCTGAAATATGGAAATGGTGGGCTAAAGGATCGACCATACATATAAGGCATGCAAGTAGTTTAGAATGATATGTACGCCAGAACTTTACCTTAACTGCAGGTTACACAGCAGTAGAACATGGAAAATATCTTGCATAGTCAATATGGATTGCACCGGAAGATTGATCATTCGATTCTGCCATATTTCAATTCAAATGAACAGTCTTCACTGCTGCCACCTCGCTCATGAAGGAATTAAGTGAAGATGATATGATGGGTTGATGTGAGTACATGTGTACTTTCATGTTGTAACAGCGCAGGATTTCCAGGCGTGAAATTCTACCGAGACAGGAAACCTCAAGGCTCGGACAAGAGGGTAAGCAAGCCCATAGAGGGACTTTTTTCTATAGGACCTGCCCGTGTAAATTGGGAAGGTGCCATGTGGCCATGTGACATTGACAATCAGGGAAGGTGCAAGGCAACTGGGCACTTTGGGAAGGTACGCGTTCTTGGGGATATAAAAGGGCTCCTCCCACCTTTCTTCCTCTTCTCTTATTCTTCTCTTCTTCCTCTCAGCCCTCCCGCCCACTATCTCTCCGTAGCCCCCAGAGATAGTGTAAGCGAGGCAAAGGGCCGTGCATCACCTATACATAAAGGCGTCAACATTACCAAGGTTGTTGAGGCCCATATAGGTCAACACCAAAAACAAACCATTCTTTCTCGTGGAAGTTCTTTGACAAAGTCGTGGCTGAGCCTTCGGGCTCCATAGTCACTTGACGGGTCCCACGGAATACATGGGGGGGTGTTAATCACATCCTCTTTCATTACACAGCTGTCACCTAGGTAGAGGTAGTCGCTGAATACATTTACAGTCCATTCGTCCTGTTTTTCCTATACGTACACATGTTGAAGTATTATTAAGTGGGCGTACTGAACACTTATTACCCAAATGTACCAAGCTGTCATGTCATTCTATACGTACATGGCTTCAGACAACGAGGTGTTGGTGTAGTCGAAGATATTCGGCACAGTCTAAAAAGGGTAAGCCGAGCGAATGGGGACGAATGGGGATTGAGTGATCTGCACGCCAAGGCCACTTTAAATGCTGCGAGCATTCTACTTTTCATTGGAGTTTAGGAGACAGG